GTCCAAGGCCAGGTGAGAGATCCTGGTCTCTTGTGTCAGATCTGTCTGCCTCACTAGATGGAGCCTGATTCTTTCTTGGTGCCCCCAGTCACAAACTCAACATTGAATGATTGATAAATAAATGTCCATGGCTTCCCCCTCTTGCCACAGGAAGAACGCTGCCTGTCCTGGACCCATCTGGGGATTACTACTACTGGTGGGCTGAACACGATGGTCTTCCCTGTAATGTATAACCTCATCATCATCGTGTGCAGGTTTGACAGGACTTTAAGGGACGGGCTTTAGCACAGACAGGGGCTAAAGAGCAAGGCTCAGGAGAGGGGCGGGGTCTGGGGGAGGGGAGGAGCCTAAGCAAGGGCCCAGTGGGGAGTGCTCAGTGGCTTGGGGAGACCACCTCAGGCACAAAGGGTGTCCTTAAGCCAATCCCTCCGCCACACAGAGCCTGCTTTCCCGACTTGCAGCATGGCTACCTGGTGGCCTGGTTCGTGGTGGACTACACTAGTGACCTGCTGTACCTACTGGACATCGTGGTGCGCTTCCACACCGGTCAGTGAGTCCCAGGACTGACCCTTTGTTTCAAGTTCCCTTCCCAAAGAGAGCCCCTTAGTATCACGAAAGTGACCTCCCCCCACCCCCCCCCACCCCTCCCCACCCCTCCCCACCCCCGCTCCTGAAAGCACTTTCACATGCCTCCATGCTTGACAACATCCTTATGCATACTGGAAACCCTGCAGCAGGGTTATACCTGCCCTCCCGCCATGTGACTCTCTCCCTGTCCTACCCTGGCCTGCCCAAGCTCATCCTTATCACTGGAGCAGGCAGGTGCCCCACTCGGCCCTGACCCCATCCTACCCCTGAGCCCATCCCCTCCCTCTCTTCCTCCCAACAGGATTCTTGGAACAAGGCATCCTGGTAGTGGACAAAGGTAGGATCTCGAGTCGCTATGTTCGCACCTGGAGCTTTTGTTTGGACCTGGCTTCCCTGGTGCCCACAGACGTTGCTTACGTGCGGCTGGGCCCGCACACACCCACGCTGAGGCTGAACCGCTTTCTGCGTGTGCCCCGCCTCTTTGAAGCCTTTGACCGCACCGAGACCCGCACGGCTTACCCCAATGCCTTTCGCATCGCCAAGCTGATGCTCTACATTTTCGTGGTCATCCACTGGAACAGCTGCCTCTACTTCGCCCTGTCCCAGTACCTGGGCTTCGGGCGTGACCCCTGGGTGTACCCAGACCCGGCGGAACCCGGCTTTGAGCGCCTGCGGCGCCAGTACCTCTACAGCTTTTACTTCTCCACGCTGATCCTGACCACCGTGGGCGACATCCCGCTGCCGGAGCGGGAGGAGGAGTTCCTCTTCATGGTCGGCGACTTCCTGCTGGCCGTCATGGGTTTCGCCACCATCATGGGTAGCATGAGCTCCGTCATCTACAACATGAACACTGCCGACGCAGCTTTCTACCCTGACCACGCGCTGGTGAAGAAGTACATGAAGCTGCAGCATGTCAACCGCCGGCTGGAGCGGCGCGTGATTGACTGGTGAGGATGCTGGGGAGCCAGGACCCGGGGCGGTGTACCGGATAGACTCGGAGGCAGGTGTCTGGGTTCTTACTGCCCGGTGCGCCAGGAAGGCAACCAGGACATGGCACTCACTGGGTTGGGGGGAGCTCACTGGGTGGGGCTTGGAAAAGGATATCATCCACTCATTGTATCTGGGCTTTGGGGAAGGGGTTGGGTAAGAGACTGATGAGGAGAGAGACTCTGCACTAGGTGATGGGAACGGCCACTGCCCGGTAGAGCCCCAGAAGGCCTAAGGGAGAAGGGAAATAACCCCCCCCCCCCAGGGCATGGCCAAAAGCAAGATGGTTGACTATGTCACGGTAGTCCACACTGTGGCTGAACGAGAGGAAGTGTCACCAGCTAGAGCAGACTCCTCTAGAGAAGATGGGGCTTGGTGACTGAAGTGGGTTTCAGTTGGCTGGTACAAGACATCACTGGTGGATGGGGTAGAAACTGACAGGAGGTCAAGGGTGTCTTATTCATTGTCTTCTGGTGGAGGCTTCGAGGCCCTGGATGAGGGGAGAAAAAGTAAAAACATACCTGTGACCAACAAAGGAGATTGTGGACTGTAAATATGTCATCAGTCAACCCTCAAGTATTCCCATAGCCCCTGTGAAACCTCAGAGTGGTTGGGCTCTTGGCTGAAGTTGAGATGAGCCCTGAAGGAAGGAGGAAGGGAGACAGGGAGGCACATAGGATGCTGGTGAGAAACTGGTGCTGCCCTTGTCTCCAGGTACCAGCACCTGCGGATCAACAAGAAGATGACCAATGAGGTGGCCATCTTACAGCACTTGCCAGAGCGGTTGCGGGCAGAAGTGGCTGTGTCTGTGCACCTGTCTACTCTGAGCCGGGTGCAGATCTTCCAGAACTGCGAGGCCAGCCTGTTGGAGGAGCTGGTGCTGAAGCTGCAGCCCCAGACCTACTCACCAGGCGAATACGTCTGCCGCAAGGGGGACATTGGCCGAGAGATGTACATCATCCGCGAGGGTCAGCTGGCCGTGGTGGCAGATGATGGTGTCACACAGTATGCCGTGCTTGGTGCAGGGCTCTACTTTGGGGAGATCAGCATCATCAACATCAAAGGTGGGCACCCCAGCATTGTTCCCAGATAGGGCTGGGGCGGGGCAGGGCGGGGGGTGGGGTGAGAGACAGCAGAAACCTGTCCTGAGACCAGATGATACTTCAGTGTCTACACAGATTCAGGACACGTGGCCTTTACCTAAATCACTAGAGGGCTCAGGGCAGAAGCAGGACATAGAAACAGGACATGAGAAGCTGAACCAAGATCAGTGAGAAGGGTGAGTTCTTGGAAGAGAGAGTAGACCTGCTCTGTGGGTGTTGACCTGAGGCACCAATGAGCCAGTGGAAAGTGGCAGAGATGATGATAACAATACTTATTGCGTGCATACTACATGCCCTTTTTAAAGTGCTTCTCATATGCCAACTCTTTAAATTCTCACAGCAACTCTTAAAGTAGGTACCATTATCTGCATTTTAAAAGTAAGGAGCCCTGGCCACTGTGGCTCAGTTGGTTGGGGGTTATCCCATGCACCAAAAGGTTGCTGGTTCAATTTCAAGTCAGGGCACACTCCTGGGTTGCAGGGTCAGTCCCAGTAAGGGGCATGCAGAAGGCAGCTAATCCATGTTTCACTCTCAGGTCGGTGTTTCTCTTCCTCTCTCCCTTTCCCTTCTTCTCTCTCTAAAAATTAATTTAAATTTTTAAAAATAAAGGTAAGGAAATTAGAGCACAGGGAGGTTTAGGAACTTGTCCAAGGTCACACAGGTAATAAGTACACACACTTGGGTACAGTACAAGGAACAACTTTCTCACAGCCAAATGGAAATGGAGATATTCCAACTTATGGAACTCCATTCAGGGCCAAATGCTGTCTGTGCACTGGCTCATTTATTCCTCTTATCACTCTGTGCAGTAGGAGTTGCCTAATCACAGGTAGACACTGAGGTCATGGGAGATGGGACAGCCTGGAAAGGGGGTGAGCACAGTCACTGGCTGAGGCTAGATGCTGTCTCACTGGGGGACCCCATTCTTCAGTTGTCCTGAAGGCCTCACATCTGTCCTCCAAGGGCCCCCTCAAGCTCCACATCCTGTATGCAGTCGGCTGCTGTCTCCCTGGCTTTGGATAAGTCACTTCCCTTTTTTAGGCCTCACCTGTCCAATAGGGTGACATTAAAAACCCCAAAAGTTATTTGTGAGGATTAAAGGAATAGTGCCCAGCATGTAGCAAGTGCTCAACAAGCAGTAGCTCCCTTGCCTCTTCTCGGGTCCTTCTAGCTCTGAGAGTCTGCAGCATTCAGCCTAACCTTTCTTCCCACCCACCCTTCCCCCACAATATCTTCCTAAAATGTTAATGATGCCTTACAGCTCCCCTGCTTAGAACATTTCAGGACTTTCCCATTGCTCTCAGCATAGGGTCTGAACTGCTCGCCTGGCTGTCCCCTCCTCTTTCCACTGTCCTCACACCCTGCATTTCAGCCACTCTGGACTGCTTCCTGTTTTCCACTCCAACCTAATTCTTTCCTACCTCCATCCCTCTGCTCATGTTCTTCCCTCTGTGTAGCTGCTCCAACCCCCCTTTCCCTAGCTGCAGCCCCCTCAGTCAGGCATCAATTACTCTAGGCTTCCCTAAATTCTCCACCTTACAGTTAGGGACTCTTTGTCTGTCTTCCCACAAAACCACATGCATATGTCCACACTGCACCAGCAATACTGTTATGTAACTATCCAATTAAATGTTTGTCTCCTCTAGACTGTGACTTCTTGGAGGCAGGTCACTAATTCCCGCCCCAGCACAGGGCCTGGTCCCAGTAAATTACTGAAGCGGAAAGAGAGGCTCAGAAGTACAAATATGGAGGGGGGGGGTGTCCCTTGTTCAGGAGCAAAATGCCCCCTCACACCCACCCTGACTACTTTTCCTCCCATCTGTCTGCCCATGTGCCACAGGGAATATGTCTGGGAACCGCCGCACAGCCAACATCAAGAGTCTAGGTTATTCGGACCTGTTTTGCCTGAGCAAGGAAGACCTGCGGGAAGTGCTGAGCGAGTATCCACAGGCCCAGGCCGTCATGGAGGAAAAGGGCCGTGAGATCCTTCTCAAAATGAACAAGTTGGACATAAATGCGGAGGCAGCTGAGATTGCCCTACAGGAGGCCACAGAGTCCCGGCTACGAGGCCTCGACCAACAACTGGATGATCTACAGACCAAGTTTGCTCGTCTCCTGGCTGAGCTGGAGTCCAGTGCACTCAAAATCGCTTATCGCATTGAACGGCTGGAGTGGCAGACTCGGGAGTGGCCAATGCCTGAGGAATTGGCTGAGGCCGATGATGAAGGCGAGTCTGGGGAGGGAACTTCCAAGGATGAGGAGGGCAGGGCCAGCCAGGAAGGACCCCCAGGCTCAGAGTGACCCCATTCCTATCCCTAGGAATCCAGAATTATAGGACAGCCTCCCTGCAGAAACTCTGCCATCCTGTCTGCTAGGTTCCAGAGATGGGATTGAATTGGGTCTGCAGATGCCCACCTGGAGATGTAGGAGTGTAGCACACATTCATTCCCCACTCACCAATGTGCGCACACACGTGCGCGCGTGCACACACACACTACAATTGCACATACTAGTACATACACTGGCCCCAAGAATGTTCATTCCATATAAAATGCTCTAGAATTTCCATTCTCAGAGCACACATGCTTGCTCACAAACATAGATATGTCTTATACCTACATGATATATGCACATTCAGTCATGCACCTCATAAACACACATATATTGAGAGTCATACACCAGTAGACACACAGATGCCCTCCACACACTTGTAAATACACAAAAGCACACCCAGAGCCCTCGTGTTCCAAGATATCCTTTAAATGCCCCCCATATGGGGTCACAGGTGTACCTTGCAAGTTGCACTTCAATAAAGTATGTGTCTTCTCACTAAGCATTTATGGAGCTGATGCGGAAAGGCTCTTGGCTTTAGTAGTGGGCCAGATGACCTCTCTCTGAATTCTGAGTCACAGGAGTGAGGGGCATGAGCTATGTTATAGCTGGTCCGTTGGATTCAAAGGGGCTGGAATACCTAATGAATTGAGGTCTTTGATTTCCTTGAAATAATAGCCCCTAAATCTTTCTCATTTTCCAAATCTCTTACTTCCCCTCCTATGACAAAGCTGAGAAAGAGCTCTGCTTTTTAGGGCTCATGTGATAGGTCCACCCAGATAATCCAGGATAATATCCTGATTTTAAAGCCAGGAGTTAACCTTAATTATATCTGCAAAGTCCCTTTTGCCCTAATCACAAGAATAACACCAGAGGGCAAAGGTAATAGGAGCCAAAATTCTACCTATCACAGGGTTTCTGGGAAGGAAAGCAGCCTGGATCCCACTTCCACAGGGGTCCCAGAATAAGGAACACTGAGAATTGTGTCTTTGGAAACTGGAGAGAGATCACTATGGCCTAGCTGGCACTGGGGCCTCAAATCAGCACTCCTCTAGGGTCAAGGGATCGGCAAACTGCGGCCCTTAGCAGCATAACCCCCATGTTCTAAAGGCCAGACCCTCCAAATATTCTATCCAATATAAAATCCCCAGAAACTTTTGCAAGACACTAAATTGGAGAGGAAAGAGAATGGAAAGAAAGCCCCAAACCACAACTGAGATTAAATCTTCCGTAAATTTGTGTTTAAACGCTTAGATGAGAATTGTTGATTTAGACCAGTGGTTCTCAACCTTGGCTGCACATTAGAATCACCTGGGAATCTTTTTAAAATCCTGATTTCTGGGCCTCATCTTCCGGAAATTCTGTTTCTTTGTTATGGGGTGGGGCCACAACATTAGTAACAAAGAAATAGAATTTCCGGAGGATGAGGCCCAGAAATCAGGATTTTAAAAAGATTCCCAGGTGATTCTAATGTGCAGCCGAGGTTGAGAACCACTGATTTAGAGAATCAAGAAAATGACCAAAATTTTACACAATTATGAAATCACTCATAACTGCTATATGTACATACATTTCATTTGATTCTTAGAAAAATATTAGGAAATTTAAATTATTATGCTTCTTTTTCTAGATCTGAAAACTGAAACCCATAGAGCAACTAAAAATATTAGATCCAATTTATTGTCAAGCCATCTTATGCCGGGTCCTGGGCTAAGAGCATTGTCTCATTTAATCCTTACAACTATATGAGAAAGATGCTATTATTACTCCATTTTGAAATGAAACCACAGCTCTGGGAGATTAAATACCTTGTCCAATATCACAGGAAACTTAAATGCCATGAAATGAAACCTAGGTCTGCCTTACTGTTTCTTTTAGGTAGATAAGGAAAGGATCACCTCAGCTTGAGGCCAGGCCAGGCAAGCTGCCTTCCTTTTTTTTTTTTTTTTTTTGGAATGACTGTTAGAGACACTAACTGGTGGTAACCAGGGAGAAGGAGCCAGTCAAGCAAAGTAAAGCTTATGAATCACCAGCTAGCCTGCCCGATGTGCTGAAGTGTGATCTCAGGGATAGAGCCAAAGACAAGGGACCACCCACTGCTCTAGAGAAAAGCTGCCAATTCCTGCTCTCCTGACTGCAGGCATGCAGCTGTGGGAGGAGGGCAGGAGTCTTGAGTCAGTGCTAGAATCCTACAGAGGTGTCAAGAGCTGTCCCAGGAGCCTCCTACTGAGAGCCCAGCTGCTTTGGGTTTAGCTCTTCTCCCTCCTACAGGACCTGAATCACCCACTTTCCTCCTTGGGTCACAACCCTCAGGACACCTCAGCCTCGCTAAGAATTGGGCTGTGCACTCCTCTTCAGTGTTCCTAATTAGCTACTCCCCCACCGATGCTTCTTCAGCCCTCCCCCCTTCATCCTTTTCTTTCTGAGGGTTTGGCTGCTAGCCTCCCCCAAGACAGATGAAAATAAAGTATCAAGGTTAGAGGAAATCAGAATCATAGGGAGACCTGGTGCAAACACTAGGAGCCAGGAGCAGGGGGCAGGGTAGGTAGATTCTAGGTTGGGGCTGAACCTAGGGTTTGGCTTGAGGCTTGGATCAGAGATGAATAGTCAAGCTGGGGTCAGAGTCATGGCCCAAGTCAGGGCGAACAATAGGCTGGCCTAAAAGCACAACAGATGGGAAAGAGCTTAGAGCCAATCAGGTGCTTGGAGCCCATGAGAATCAGCTTTTTGTTTTGAAATATCACTAGCTGGGGGGTTCTTGGCCTCCTTCAAAATCTTTCAGTGTTGTCGAAAGAAATGCTTGGAGAATTAAAATGTAAATAAGATAATGAATGTAGGTTGCTTATAAGTGCTTAGATAGCAATTGCTTAATAATGAACAGTAGCTGTAACCATTATTCCTATCCCTCTAGCACCAGTTGGGCCTTTGAGGGCCTTGGGGCACAGGTTGCCTGGCCCTGCTAGACCCTGGGCTCTGGGCTGTTCTGGCAACACCAGACATGACCAGCAGAGGGCGCAAGCGTTCCCCTTCTCTTCTTCCTCAGGATAATTCCCAGGCCTCAGGAGTGCATTCCCTTATAAAGTTGGAAGAATTACCCTAGGAGAAATGAAACCTTAAGGACCAAGGTCGGGGTCTGGAACCTTAAGGACAAGATCTACTGTTTATGAAACCCCTTGTTCAGATTTTATTTTTTTTTAAATCCTCACCCGAGGATATTTTTCCATTGATTTTTAAAGAAAGTGGAAGGGAGGGGGAGAGATTTTTAAAGAACGTTAAAATTCAGCAATGGAACTGAAAGACATTACAGAGGAAGTTGTGGCAAATCAGAGCCTGAGGCAGTCCTGTTGGGGGCGGCACCATCTCATGGCCTGGAGCATTCAGGACTTGAAAAATCTTAGTGCTTTTCACCCAGAAGGCATGGGGCCTCTCTGTCTGGCATTGCCTTCCCAGTTTCAGTACCTTGGCCTCTTGTCCTTAGCCTTGCTGTTCACCAAAGGGTCCCATGGAGCCCCACCGGCTAATGGCAGGGATGTGTTCATGGAAGTCCCCTCTGGGTGACTTCCTGAGTGAGCCTTCGAGTGGCTTTAGTAGCCCTCAAATGAGGCCCTGAGCTGGTAGATCCAGGCCCCCTCTTGGCCTACCTGTGCGAGTTTATGTCTGAAACCAAGTGTACCCATCCAGTTGGAGCCAGTTCCGGTGTTGCCTCTGCTTTCCCCAGCACAAGCCCCACGCTCCGGAAAGCCTGTCCCATCATCCAGTGTTTTCCCTTTGCCCAACATCTCTGCTTGCTCTGGCTCCAGCCGGTCTGTCTTCTCAGCCTGCTTTTTCTTTGTTTAATTATCCCAAGAGAAGGGCCTCCTATGTGGGCAGCGAGTGTGTGGGCAAGAGCTCAGCACAGAAGAATTGTCTGCACATCACAGAAATGCAGAGAAAAGAAGACCGTGAACGATGTGGAGAGAAGGCAGCTTAGTCAGCCACAGAGCGAAGGGCTGAGCCAGTAGGGGCGTGGGCACCCCAAGGACTAAACTGTGGCTTGGTTTCTCTCGGAGATTGGATCGCAGCTCTGTGTGCGTGTGCGTGTGTGTGTGCGTGTGTGTGTGTGTGCGAGTGTGTGTGTGTGTGTGTGTGTGTGTGTGAGCCGGGAGAGCTGGAAGCAGAGCCTGTTCTGTGACCTTCACACCACTGTGTGTATTGGCACTGGGTTTCTTGAGTAAAATGCTATTTTGTGGACCTGCAAGCTACCTAGAATAAGCAGGTTTATTCCGACTGTGCATTGGGCACTCTATTCTCGTCTCTTTAGTTGTTTCTGCTCAACACTTACTGGTGTTGTTTAAATGTTCCCCTCTTATCTCAATTGTGATATAGAATATTGAAAGAAGGACTGTGTGCCCACACTTGGGCAGTAGGGCAGTAGCTAGGTGATTGAACTTCCCCAAGGAAAAGGTAAATTGTTCTACCTACAAGAGTCAAGCTAGGTGGGCCGGCATCCCCCTCCAAAATGAGAGAGAGAGAGAGAGAGAGAGAGAGAGAGAGAGAGAAGAAAGCGACAAAAAAAACCTGACAACCTTGGCAGGTCAAGGCTTGAGTCAGAAAGGCGGTGTCCTTCAGGACTGAGCCTGGCCCTGCTTCAGGACACCTTGAACTTTCTTCCTTGATCTCAGGTTTCCAACTTGTTCTGGGACAAGGGTCCAGGTCTCTCTCCTCTGGCTACCCACACTGACTTTGCAGTTCCCTCCTTACTCTGATCTGAAGTCCTCATTTCCTGGCCCGGAGCAATCCCACACTCTCTGAATGCTGGCTTAGTCCTTGGCATAGATGGGATTCCTGATTTTGAGAAATGAGTTCCGACCCTCTCAGCACTCCATTTTCATTCCCTCCTCTGCTAATGGTCTGTCCCCTTTCTCCGCTGTACCTGTTACTTGGAGGTTTTTCCCCTCTTCACAAACCATCTTCTTGAAACATCTATGCCCACCATCTCCTGGCCTCACCT